GAGCTCGTTAAAATGCAGACTCCAATTCAGTAGACCTGTGGGTGGCTCTGTGATTCTGCGTTTCCACAAGCTCCCAGGTGACACTGATGCTGGTCCTCAGCCACATGCAGAACAAGTCTAGAGACCACCTTGTAGGGTTTTTCAGTGATTTGAGGACAGAATTACTCTCTACACATTGTGTGTCTTGGGGAGTATTTTCTGAAGTGCCTTCAGAAATAGTAACTTTTTTTGAATGATCTTCTTAATTAGGAATAAATATTTGCTATTGGTGATCTTATAATTGACGCCAAAAACTTCTTCAGACTCTGTATTCCTGATGTTTGGATAAGTGGGGTGGAGTACTGTTAGAAGGGATTCATTTGTGGGTGGTTTACTGTTAGCTGTGATGAAGAAGTAACTTTCCCAACAGCGTGATCCGCAGAGTAGGTAGTATCGAAGGAAGATTGAATGGGAGGAAAATAAAGGTCTTTTTAAAATATAGGGATAGGAAACACTAACTGCCTTTAAATATTAGGTTAAGTATGTCCAAATGACTGCAACAGAGAAATTAAAAACATGATTAATTTTCCTAAAGATGACATACCAACAACTTGAGGTCAAAGGGAGAAAAAGAACGGATAATAGTGTAGGGTCACTTTTGAATTAAGAATATTTAAAGTAATTGGTATGATGAACAGGCACAGCTTATGAACTTACCAAAATGCAACTTCCGTTTCAGTCTCTGACTGTCCCTTCACATTTGATTAGGCAGGAGGAGGAGAAGTCCTTTCCTTGACCCTAAATGAACACTCCCCGCGGCTCATGTCTTTTCTAGGCACTCTCAAGTACTTTTTCTCAACTGCCTCAGAGTTATTTCTAGTCATAAACTTGATAGTCTCACCCTGGTGATTAGAATAGTAGTCCTGTGTAGTAATCAAAACTCCAAATGTAATTTAGCATTAAATCTCCCGTCCTCTGGGGTTTCGGCAGGCCAGTCCTTGTGGTCTGGAAAGGGAATGTTGGTTGCGTCCCTCCCTCTCCCAGTGTCTTCCCTAGCTTGCTAGAGATGTTTCTTCTTTCTCCTGGGTCAGGCCTAGGAGAGAGGGAGTTGGGAGGCAGGAGCTCGGTGGCAGGTGCTATTGTCTGATGTTAGGCCCTCTGGATGGCAGATGTTTACAGATGCTTCTTTCTCTAGGTTTCATCCTGGATTCCTCCAGGGTTCCCAGCTTTGGGGATATTTCTTCTGGGCAAACGTGGGCTTGGTTCTGGCAGTTGCTCAGCTCCTTTGTGGGAGTCAAGCATTCCACCTCCATCTTCCCTTACACCACGCTCCCATCACTTGCCAAGTGGCCCTATTCGACGTGATATAAAATGCCCCCATGCTGGCTGCTCTTGTGGTTCACCTCTGCCCGTATGAAATTTGTGGGCATTCTTTGTCTTGCCGTCGGTGGGAGCACAGTTACTTCCCAAATGCACTTCGCATGTTGTTGTCTGTTGGTCCTGCCTTTCCCTTCCTCCCAACCACTGCCTCTTGCTCAGGCTTGAATCAGGGCACCATCAGTCCAGAGTGTCCCCCAGTTGCTGGGGACACACGTCATGTTCCGTGAGTGGTCTTGCTGAAGTCACTCCTTCCAGGCTGAGGTAAGGAGGTAATGGCAGTACTCCCCATCCCACCCCACCTTCCTGAAAGAGAGAGAACACTTGGAGTGGGCAATACTTTCTCTAAAGAAATTCTTTACAAATCCCCTTCCTTCCCCATCTTCTCAATTCTTAAAAAAAAAAAATTCTGGAAGTGCTTGAGGAAGTTCCAGAATTGTATAACAGATTTGTAGCCATTTCCTGTGTAAATTCTGCAGATAGTGATCTATCTTGCACACCTTTTGGAATCTGGTATTTGTTATCTGTTTTATTGGTACCTTAGTCAAAATTTTGTTGAAAGAGTCCTCTTTTAACTTTTTTTAATGTATATTAGAAAGGGCTTTTTTTTTTTTTTTTTAACTTTTTAGGGTTTTCCTAAACATAAAAGAACCATCACATATCACAATTTGACAGATTATTTTATCTCTATGGATAGATAATAATATTTAGTTAGGGGAAATTAAAACGAGTAGTTGCCCAACATTTGTCAAAATTATTATAACCATAAATTAATCCAGGTTGTCCGTTTTTTTTTCATTTTGGTGGTACATTTAGGTTGAACAAGATGAGGTGGTTGCAGCATCCCCTCTGAAGGCTTAGTCTCGGGTGACCCATCTGCTTCAGAGATTGTGTACCATTCTTTCAGGAGATTGCAGTTACTCTTGTTATGACTTATTTCTGTCACCTTAGTTCAGGTTTTATATTTTCTGTAGTTCTTTCTCTTTTTTTAGAATTTTCTTTCCTCCTTGACATTGGATGAATCTACTTTTCTCCTGTGGTTTAGTACTCACACGTTCTCTCTCTATGTTACGGGATTGCCTTTAACTTACAACACTTTCTTAGTTTGAGCCTCTCCCCCAGCACACACGCAGAGCAGTTCTTAGCACAGCTGAGTGGGAGTGGTTTATTTGGGAGGTGATCCCAGGAAGTAGCGAGACTAGGGAAAGAAGGGAGAACAACCTGTAGAGGATTCATTAATGAGCTAGTTATTACTGTAGGCAAGTGAGGACGAATCCCTGTGAGGAACTATGTAGACTCGCCTCAGGATGGTCCCACCAAAGTGTGACTGAGGTGTTTATTCTATCCCCCATGAGCTGAAGCTCCCTCCAGAGGCATCAGTTCCCCCTAAATGATGCTCTAAACCAAGAGTCCTTCTGAAGCATCAGAAAAAGTCCTGAGGCAGAAAAGCAGAGAGCCCCCTGCAGCATATGCTGGGTAGGATCTTGGCACCAGGCAGGAACTGTCCCCCAGCTGCCGTGAAACCAGGGGCTGAGGGATGAGGGACAAGGGATGAGCGCAGGGCCTCGGGGGTCTGCCACACATGTGTCTGTTCACTGACCTCCCTTGATTTCTTCAACATACCAATATTCCATCTTCCTCCTCTGGGACAGGCCCTTTAGCAAAGTCCCGCCTTCCTTTGGTCTCTCCCCACTCAGTCCCCCCTAAATAATTATGGTGTCATTATTGTCACTGACTAATTGCCCCAAGGAACTCAAGGGTGGGTTCAGAAGCATTTAACTGTTTAAGAGATGCAATCACCAACCACCCTGAACCAGACCAGGTGTCACCACAAGAGCGAGGCCTATGACCTTTGCCTCATTTTAGTGCTAAGGTCTCCTCTCTGGCAGGAGCTTAGGCCTTATGACCGTAACCTGCAGTGTGTGTGGAAGCGCTTTTCCAGCTGAGCCTGCGCAAGCGAATGCCCACCTCTCCCTTTTGAATATTCACTCCCCATCCGGAATAAAAGGCCCCTGCTGTCCCATGCTCAGGGATGCCATGACTTTGGAAATGATTCTGCGTGGCCTCCTATTTGCTGCAAATAACTTCTCTTTGTGTGACAGCTGCTTCCGGTTGAGTCTGTAACTCATCAGAAGGCGAACCCACTTTTTGTTCAGTAACGTTATGACATATTTCTTTTGTCCTTTGATCCTTGATTGTTTAAACCATGCTGTGCTTTTCTTAGTTAAGCATTCCTCCTGCTTGTATCTCTGGCATCATCTGCTTAGGGTTTTTTTTTTCTGTATTTTGGGTTTTTTTAAGTGTCTAAGACCTTGTATACCTGAAAATACCCTATTGGGCCCTCAAATTTAAATGACAGTTGACTGGGTATAAAATTCTGGGTTTAAGCTAACAAATAGAGTTTCATAAGAACAATTTCTTAAAGTATCATTAAATAATGTTTTATTTGTAGTTTAAGTAATACTAGAGTTCAAGTAAATATAAATTTATTTACCAATACACTAGTGTGATCTCTTCAGTTTTATTTCTCCTTAAATTCTGAGAAAGTCTCAGGGTCTCTCCCCAACCCCTGAATTTTGTATAGTTAATTTAATTTATTCTTGAGTTAAACCTGTTCTGGAGTAGGGAAGCTTTTCCCAGGTGAAGCTTCTGCTTTTGCAGTACCAGTAATCTGCTGCTTTTCTCTTCCATTACGCGCTCTTTTGCTTTCCACAGTATCTCCTCTGGGAGTACACACACCTCTTTGGCCTTAGAGTCTTAGCCCAGGTATGTGTGTCTTGAGTCTCAGTAGGAAACTCTTAGACCTGAGGGATCTGGAAGGAAGGAGTAGTGGGGAGAAATCCTGCCGTGACAAGTCCTCTTGACCTTGGGATGGTTCTCCCTGGTCGAGCACACACCTCCCTTTGTCACCAGGCTGCCTGATTCAAGCTGATTCAACAGCTAATCATTTGTAAAAGGACTTCTTCCAGAAGGTTGCTGCTTATTTTCGATCTTAGATATTATCTACCTAATGTGATAGTTGATAGTTAAAATATTGTCAGTGAGTGTATAGTATGGCTATTAGCAGTTGAACAGGGTCAAAAACTAAATTAAACTTTTTCCTCTCTATTATGTATATGTTTTTGACTTTCGGCACAGGTTCTTAAATTATTCCTTAGCATCACTGGTATTCTCCTACTAAAATAAAGTAATGTAGATTTTTTGTAAAAAAGAATGAGAAAATTGATGATTTTTTTCCTCATAGATCTTTCTTAAATGTGCTAAAAGAAAATGAGAAGCAAGTGACAAATATTAACAGGAAGAACTTGGCAACAGCCTATCCTTCCTGCTCAGTTTATGATTCTCTCCAGCTCTTATCATGTGATTAAGTAGGTACATGAGTATTTGGTGGAGTTCCGAAAACAGTGTGTATAGCTTTGAGGGAACTTTGACACTTGTACAAGTTTGAGAACCACTGTTCTTAGTAAAAATTGGTTCTTTAAATTAGAAAATAAAGTTTATATGTTAAAAAATAAGCAGAGTGTTACAAACATGAGTTCAACATTGTTTACATAAAAATTGGTTTGAATAGGCAGAAGTTGCCCTCACCCTGCATCGGATTGTTTCCTTAATGTGAATAACGCTTTTGTCTTGTGACCTCACAGGAGCCCAGGCTTGTGTGCTTGTATTTTCCACCACAGACAGGGAATCTTTTGAAGCAATTTCCAGTTGGAGAGAGAAAGTAGTGGCCGAAGTTGGAGACGTGCCAACTGTCCTTGTACAAAACAAGATTGATCTCTTGGACGATTCTTGTATAAAGAAGTAAGACGGCTACTTTTGAAGGGGTGGTGGCAATTCTATAAAGTGAAGACCTATTTTAATTTTTGCATAAACTTGCAAACTTTAGGAAAGTTTTTATAAAGGATGCTTTATACTTAAAATTTCTGTGAGCTATTCTGTGTGATTGGTTTGGGTTAAAAAATGTTCACACTGAATCATAAGTAGAGAAAACTAAAGGAATAAATTTGAAAGCCCTTTTAGAATTCCAGTCTTAGGTCCTTGCACACAAATCCAATTCTTCATGTTAAGTCAAATCTAGGTATAGTAAGAATGTTAAGAAAAACATACTTAGATGTTTTAATATCTAGAGTAAGTAGCTATACTATGTTGATGAGTTTACCTGGATAAATAGTTGAGATTTCATATTGTTTTGTATATTCAGAACGATTATGCTCAAATTTGTGAACAGAGTTTAGCATCCAGACAATTTCTGTCTATAAGTATTTGCTCATTGCATTGTTAACATTTTGCTAGCTTTGAAAAGCTTTGCTTAATTTTTACCTTATTTTTTAATATGTTCTTAATATTAGTTATTTGTTGCCATATAACAAATTAGCCCCAAAGTGAGGGGCTTAAATCAACAAGTATTCATTATTTCACAGTTTCTGTGAATCGGGAATTTGGAAGTGGCTTAGCCGGGTGGTTCTGGTTCAGAGTTTTTTATGAGGTTGCAGTCAAGATGTCACCTAGGCCTGTAGTCACATACAGGCTTGGCTGGGGCTGGAGGGTCTGCTTCCAGGATGGTTCCCTCACTTGGCTGTTGGCAGGAGGCCTTAGTTCCTTGCCATGTAGACCTCTCCCTAGTGGTGTCTGAGTGTCTTCACAACATGGCAGCTGGCTTCCCCCAACCAGGTGATCCAAGAGAGAGCAAAGCGGACACTCTGTCCCTTATGACCTAGTCCCAGAAGTCACATACTGTCACTTCTGCTGTATATTATTGATGACACAGACCAACCTTGATTACAATGTGGGAGGAGATTACACAAGACCGGGGGTGGGCAGGGGTTTAGAATCATTGGGAACCATTTTAGAGCATAGCTACTACAGTCTCAATAAAACTAAAATTAGGAGTCCACTCTTGTAGACACAATCATTAATATACTGCCTTTGGCTTTGGCAGCAAAGTAGTTTCATAGCCAGTAAGAGTAAAGTAAGTACAGTCAGCCCTCCGTATCTATGGGTTCCACATCCTCGGAATCAGCCAACCTTGGATCAAAAGGCCTATCATGGTTGCGTCTGTACTGAACGTGAACAGACTTTTTTTCGTGTCGTTGTTCCCTAAACAGTACAGTATAACAACTATTTACATAGCATGTACATTGTATTAGGTATTATAACTAATCTAGAGATGATTTAAAGTATACGGGAGGATGCATGTAGGTTACATGGAAATACTGTGCCATTTTATATAAGAGACTTGAGCATCCGTGTATTTTGATACCCCCAGGGATCCTGGAACGAATCCTCCGAGGATACCAAGGAGTGACTGTAATGCAGTATAAGATTTTCAGGGTGTAATTAAATTCAAATGTTTTTAAAAACAGAAGAGAGAAAATTAAAGTATTATACAAAGAAAAGTGATATTTAGTCATTTTAAGGCTAGAGTTTAGTGACTTCATAGCAAAGTGTCTGGTCCCAGTTACAGTGATAATGGTTGGTGTTTATCCCCCGAGAGTAGTGAAAACTCAACATCCTGTGTGAGCACTGAGAACGCAGCTTTCCGCTGCTCTGGAAGGTCTCCCCTCCCCTCCACAAGCTGTTTTCAGTAAATGTGATAGCAGTGATTCTTTAAAACAAGCTCTCAGAAAGTACCTTGTAAGCGTTTTCTTGCTTGCTGTCCAGCGAGGAAGCTGAGGCTCTCGCCAGAAGGTTGAAGCTGAGGTTCTACAGGGCGTCGGTGAAGGAGGACCTCAACGTGAACGAAGGTAAACCGCCTTTGCAAAACAGTTAACAGCACAAGTGTGTTTCATTCTTCCTATGCTTTTTCTATTGTGTTGTATAGAAATGAGAACAGAATTTTCTCAGCGTCACCTGTCAGTAAGTAAAATTTACAGGCATGTGATGTTCCTTTGAGTTCAAGTCCTTAACTGTTTACTGATCACTTTGAATACTGGTTACTCTGCAAAACTCTGGGGGGTTTTGTTTTGTTTTTTATCTTTAAAAATATATATTTAGGGGCCGGCCCTGTGGCTTAGCAGTTAAGTGCGCGTGCTCTGCTGCTTGTGGCCCGGGTTCGGGTCCCGGGCGTGCACCGACACACTGCTTGTCCAGCCATGCTGAGGCCGCGTCCCACACACAGCAACTAGAGGGATGGGCAACTATGACGTACAACTATCTACTGGGGCTTTGGGGAGAAAAAGGGGGGAAAAAAAAAGGAGGAGGATTGACAATAGATGTTAGCTCCCGGCTCGTCTTCCTCAGCAAAAAGAGGATGATTGGCATGGATGTTAGCTCAGGGCTGATCTTCCTCACAAAAATATATATATAAAAACTGTGTATGTGTGAATGTGTATGCATGTATGTTTTCCATGCAGACCTTTTAGAACTCCACAGTAGTGGATATTCCACTAGGTAGTTCCAGTGACCTTAATTTGTTTATTAATATTTCCTAGTTGAAGAAAGTGAGATTAGAGAAAGAAGATTGTTATTTTTCTCATTCCAGAAGTGCTACTTGTTTTGTTAAATTGCACCTCAGTTGTTGGTCCGGTGTCTTCTGGATAGTTTTTTTCACCTGAAGAATGGAGACACCTTTTCAAGACTGCGTCATTTAGTATCGCTGAGTATCAATCACTGTTCAAGTACTTACAACTAAAGAGTGGAGGAACTAAAGAGTTATTTCGTTCCTTTACTAGTAAAATGCCACTATATATTTATCAGTGTTACCAGTGTACTTAGGGAATGCTCAAATAATTTGTAAAAGTTTAATTTTTTCAATTACATTGTATACTTCTAACTTAATTTTAAATTTGCTTAGTAAGTGCAAATATTATAGTTAAGTGATGTGAAATAACAGATATTACATGCATAAATTATACTGACCTGGTAGGGTTTTTGTTTTTGCTTTTATTCTAGTTTTTAAATATTTGGCTGAAAAATATCTTCAAAAACTCAAACAAATAGCTGAGGATCCAGAATTAATGCATTCAAGTAGTAACAAAATTGGTAAGTTCCCAAGAAGTTTTAGTCCATGTTTACCCGGCACATTTATTCTCCATTCATTATTATCATATTTACTATTTTTTTAAATACAATATATGCTCATTTCTTTAAGAAATGTGATTAGAAAGTATCAGATCAGTGATTATTAAACTTAGGAGTATCAAGCCTCTTATTAAAAGGTATTTTGAGTTTAAAGATTTTTTTAACTATTGAATTTTCTAAACCCATTTGCTATATTAAGACCGCAGAGATAAAGGCTTTATCTAAAGGTCTGACCTTTATGTAAAGGACCTTTCACACTTGGTCTTCTGACTCCATACTTGTATTAGCTCCATACCTTTTCCCTCCTGCCACCTTGCTCATTACCTGTTATCGATATTTTTTTATGCTAAATGCCAGCAAAGTTCAGCATTCCCTAAAGAACAAGTGTGTTGTCTTCTCTTGCTTTTTGCTTTGACTTCCAGGAATATGAGAACCAAATGTTCTGTTTCTCAAGCTTCTGTGTAATCTCTTAAGGACTTCATATCTGTATTGCATCCCCCCTCGCTACAGACACAAACATGCACATCATTTTCTTGACCTGTTTTAACTTATATTTTTCCTTGGTTCTGGCTTCTTTTTTATTATTTTGCCATTTTTATTGCATGTGTTCCTACCATCAGACACCTCAAATGCTTTGCAAAACAAGAGGTCAGTGGTAATAAGCTTCCATCTGGTCTGGTCTCCTGGGCCCTGCTCTTGGCCTCTTGCCATCATCTGATTAAAGCCCTTTGATAGATTCTCATTATGGTACATTAAATGCAGGCTCTCTTTTTTTTTTTTTTTTTTTAAAGATTTTATTTATTCATTTTTCCCCCCAAAGCCCCAGTAGATAGTTGTATGTCGTAGGTTCACATCCTTCCAGTTGCTGTACGCGGGACTCGGCCTCGGGTTGGACTGAGATGTGGTGCCTCGGGGCGCGCCCGGGATCCGAACCCGGGCTGCCAGCATCAGAGCGCACGCACTTAACCGCCAAGCCACGGAGCCGGCCCCCAGGCTCTCTTCATTCCAGCATTTCAAGACAGTTTTGTCCATCCTTCCTGTGCGGGCTCGTGCCCCACTGTTACGGATGTATGCTGATTACCGGTTCCACCAGAGGTCTTGCTCTTTCTTAAGCGTGCCCAGTGCTGTCTTTCTTCTTCCTTTTTGCTCCTTTGGTTCTTCCACCAAGAATGACCTCCTTTTCCCATCTTCTGTCAAAGGAACTGTTCATTCCTCAAGGACTATCTGGAAAGCTCTCTCAGCTGTGTATCTGGCTGAAGCCACAGCCTCCAAGCTTTTCTGCTAACCAAGCAAAAATCTAAGTCCAGGGCATTGCCGGGTCTCCAGTTTGTCCTTTGTTAGGAAGTAGATGTACCTGGTCCTTTGAACCATCTCTGGGATCTTGTGTTTCTTTTGTGACACTTGACAAATAGTGTGTTACAGCATTACTTACCACCTCACCTCACTTGTTAGATTGTAATCTTCTTGTGGGCAGGAATTGGTCTCAGTCATCTTTGTATTGCCGGTAGTGTCTCTGGCCCAGAGTTTCGTGTCTCATGGATGATAAATAGTTCATAGATTGGAGATTACATTGTAAGACCAGCACAGTTCAAAGAGGAAACTATAATCGTTAAAAGTTTTTCTTTCATTCGTCCCTTTTATCTGCTCATCACTTTGATGATTTGTAGCACATTTTGTTGTTGTTGGAAAATCCTACACTACTACCAGCTTTTACATATGCAGTGTTTTTATTAATATAAAATCTTAGAAATACTGTTGTTAGCTACAAATCAGGGATTCTTGAGGAACGTATATGATGTAAAGTTAATAAGTGAAGTTATTAAAATTATCAAATTTACTGATTCCAAATTTTAAAAATAGATTGTTAGTGAAAAGATGCAGAACAGTGTATAGAGTATGTCACCATTTGGGTAGCAAAGGGGGGAGAAAAGAATATATATTCATTTTTGCTGACATATGCGTGAAGTATCCTGGGAAACTGGTATCATAGGAAATATCACAGGAAAACTGATAGAACACATGTGCCTTAGGGGAGGGAAACTGGCGATGAGGCTATTAGGGTGGAAGGGAGACTTCACTGTGGCCCCTTTTGTACCCTTTGAACTTTGAACCACGTGTATTTGCTATTAAAAATAAATGAAATCAAAACAAAAGCTTAAAATTGTAAATACTTGCAAATATTACTGATTTACTAAGAAGCTGGATGTACAGTCTGCAATAGGTAACCCTGAGGTGTATCAGTGTCAATCTCTGTTTTCCATCAATTTATACAGGTGTCTTTAATACATCTGGTGGCGGTCACTCGGGTCGGAATTCAAGTACCCTTAATGGTGGAGATGTCATCAATCTTAGACCCAACAAACAGAGGACCAAGAAAAACAGAAATCCTTTTAGCAGCTGTAGCATACCCTAAAACATTTTAGGGAGGAAAAAGATTGAGTTGTATTGTGCAATTCAGTAAGAAATCCATTCAGCTGTCACGGTATGTTGCAAGTGTTTTAGCAGACTTTGCACCTAATGGCTCTCTGAAAGGCGCCAGACGTAAGTATTGTTCTGCACTGCTTTTCAGAATGGAGTGAGATCTGTGCTGGACGAATGACTGCCCTGTGGACTCATTTTAATTTTTTTACATTAGACGAGGCTTCTCCTGTTTTTGAAGGAATGCTGTATAAGAAATGTCAAAAACAGGTTTTGCCGAATTTTAAATGCTGGAAAACATAAATGAAATGCCTAAATATATTGGTACAGATTTTAATATTATGGGTCAAGGGAAGATAGCAAGCATTCTTTTTCTGAAATCGGTCATCTAGCTTTTCTGGAAAATAGTATTGAATCCGAATACTTACAAAACAATAATATTGAAAGGTAAACCCTAAATCTTGCCAGACTGCATTAGTGTGTACTTGAGCAACGTTACTTGTGCAATATCTGTATAACGCGGAATGTGGAGGTATGCATGCAGATATCTGGTACTGAAATAAGCTGAAAGGATGTGCAGTATTTAAGGGAACATAGAATCTAATTCATTGATTCATAAAACCATTTACACATAGTGTGTATGTTAAAAATTTTATTTTCAAATAAGAAATTCCAGACATATATTTTGCAAAAGGAGCTCAGATTTAAAAAGTGCTTTGTGCCAAAAATATCATACCTAATTTTTACAGTGCTTTACTATCAGAATTTATATTGTTTATAGTATCTTTTAAAAGCAGTTTTCCTCTCTGACAGATTACATAAAAGAGGATTATAAATGATTTAATGCTAGAGCATCTCCCAGGTGAGACTTGTTGCAGATCTTTTTCGTACGTCCAACCGTAGGTGTGGTGACGACGATCCACAGCCCGTCTGCGGTTAGTCCCTGCGTCCCGTGAAGTGCGACGGTGCCTCTGGCACCTTTTGCTGCTGACTGAAAATGTAATTTTGAACTTTTAGGATTATACTAACAATTTTTAAAAATGCACAAGAGATGATCTTTTGTCTTAATCCACATTATGGATTTTATAATGCCTGCAATTCTAAAGCATCTTTTTGTTTACACATTTTTGTATAGTATTTTAAGATTATCACTTAAAAGTTTCTATAACCTTCGGTTTGTATAGCACTTTCTCAAGAGCTCTGTCAGCACCAAATACAAAAGAATTTCTTTTAAGAAATAATTTTGATATGTAATCATGTGGCAGAGCATAAATTTTCTGACTTGGGACAGTAGCTTTCCAACTAAGGTAATTGCATGAACTCTGTTAAAACTGATTATCATTCATCAGTGACTTTGTTTTTAACCCCTTGCAATATACCTGATTTTTACAGGCTTTCAAAATATGTAAAAATAACTTTTCTTGGAAAATGTCATAAAGTCATTTTTCATTATTTGTACTAAATGCATAATGTTTTATATATTCTTTTGTATGCTTTCTCTTTCTTTCTGTTTTTTTAAGTCTTCCATCTATACCATTCCCATCCCCCTGTCCAGATTCATGTTGAGAATGTAAGAGAAATTTCTGGGGCATGTCTTCATTAAGTGGTCGAGAGTGAATGTTTGCTTTTCATAATATTGAAATAATCTGGCATTATCTATTTCAAAGTAATATAAAATGTTTATTTTTATGTCACCAGTTGTCACTCCTCCCATTGCCGGCAGTGGGATAGGTGTGGGGGACAAGCTCAGTTCCTAACCGTGGAGACCTGCTAGTGATTCCTCTCCCTTTTCTACTCTCTGGAAAGTCTCTTTAATTTCTGCACAAAATATATTTTGCAGCGAGTAGTCTTATGGTCTTTGTAGCAGAAAAATCACGTTCTGTAATATGTTGTAGTTCTATTTCATATTAATTAAATGTGTGTGGGTAAAAGTTTGTTACTTTTCTATATAAAAAATGTAATCTCTGATGATGGTTGCAGTTCCCTTGATATTTGTGATATAATTTTACATAGTTATGTTCTTTTTTTCTTTTTACAAGAACCCAAGAGAGATCTTTGTTACACATTTGAATTGTTAATTTGCACTTCTGTATTTTAAACCTAACCATAATTAGTCATTTTAAATAATTAAGTAGGCCTGAAAATCAGCCCACAAGTAATATGTTACTTTCTCTAATTAACTGTAAAACCTTCAAAATTGGCATTAATTTTCCCCCCAGAGATCCTTAAATCTTTTAAATGACTTGACTATTAATTTCTAATGAACCATGGATGCTAGAGGAAAACTCCTCTAAGACTCCAGGATGTTGTGCATTTGGGCTCTGATGTCCTTGTGTACATTATGGCTCATTATTAGCATACAGACATAGCTGTGGAATAATCACCATATTTCAGGGTTCCTCAGGTTTCCTTGCCCTCTTTCAGTCTGCCTATCAAATTAAATATAGCATGCAGAATAGCCCATATAAGGCAATATAGTTAAATTACATAAATGGGCTAAATGGTTTCCTTTTTATGTGCCCAAAGTTGATAGCACACGTGTACTTTATCAAAGTCAAGTAAAACTAACACTACCAAAAAGAGGATGAACACTCGTCATTGTGGACCGAAGTTGGATGGTGGTTTCAGAAGTTGGCTTAGAAAGAACTCTCGTCAATGTGCTCCATTGTGCCTGGGACTTTTAGGGACTGGGACCTTCTCTGAAGATCTTAGAATCGAGAACTGGCCTCAGGACCTAATGTCCCAACTTGAAGTGACCTACTTTAATGTAAAATATTGTTAATTGTTAGCATCCTCTTCAAACCCTTTAAAATGGTTACTGGTAACTTGCTGACGTGCTCCCATTACCGTCTCATTCGGGTCTGTTTCTCTGGAAACAGAATGAACTGACGGGGTGAAGCTTTGTCCCATGCCGCACAGTCACCTAAACAGCAGTGGATGTGTTTGGTTTTAACTGTTAGTTACAAATATCATGTGTACTGTTGTCACTCTTTAGGTTTTCACCTTAAAACATGTAAGCCCATCATAGAAGTGAATTTATTTGCTAACAGAAAATATGTAAAACCACAGTGGACTCGGACATACCCAGTGGCCTCCCTCCCCAGTATCTGGTGATTTGGCTGTAATCACCAGTATAGGCAAGGCTCCTTTTCTTCCCTCTCTGGAAATATCTACAGTGGATGTTGGCAAATGGGCTTATAAAAATAAAAACTTTGGATTAAAAGGAAAACTGAACCCCTTCTATATTTTTGTTACTACTAAGTAATGCTTTTGTAAATTTGAATGGAAAACCACTTGTATGTATTGCTGTTGGGTTGCAGTTATGCCCCTGAGCTTAATTTAAAATATATTGCTTAATAACAATTTCATGAAAGATGAAATCCAATAATCAAAAATAAATGTATTTCAAAGCTAGAATTTTGTGTGATATGTGTGATGTATCCCCAGTGTGGAACCAAACAGTAAAAGGTACGATGTGACTTCTTTAAAAATCAAAACAACCTAAAAATAGTTCATATTTCAGATACTCTGCCAATATTTAGCATACTCTTTTTATTGATGGTGGATATTTAATGCAATTTAGTAGCACTGGGGTTAAAATAATTTTGCCTTGGAAACTTGTTTCTTTTCCAATTCTATCAGTATCAGTCTGTTTTAAAGAAAACTTGTTTTGTCTTGTTTTGAGGCTCTTGCCCCCACCCCACCCCCGTACATTTACGTTGTCTTGATGTAGTTCACATTTATTTAACGAGCGCTTTCTGTGTTAGCCACCAGGCTGAGCACCTTGCGTGCTATATGTCATTTAAAGTTCATAACTCAGGAGCCTTATCACAGCTATTTACGGCTGGGAGGGCAGGGCTGTGCCCGGGCCCTCTGCTGGTAAGACCTGGGGTGGGGAGCTCCCACCGCCTCTTCCTGCAGCAGAGCTTAATTAAGCCTGTGTGTGTGCTGTGTTCTGTCCCAGGGCCTGTATCATCTTCAGACCTGAGGTCTGACGGTTATATTTGCAGATGTGTTTTTAATACTCCCTGGATCCCAATGCTAGGTCAGTTTCCAGGTTTTTCAGTCTTTTCTGACCCCTTTGTCAAATTCCTGCACAAACTGTGCCCAACTTACCAACTGTTCTGGTTACGCTGGAATATTGCATCTTAAAGCTGGACTAGAGACTGAAATCAGCCCTCACAAACACGTGAGTGAACGCCACGGTGATCTGAATGCCCACTATATGCAAGGGAAGTGTGTTTGCTATAGTATTTAGTGGTTTGAGGTGGATAATTAATAAGATTTGTGTGGTCCAGTTCAAATTGTTTACTCTTGCTTCATGATTTTCAAAAACTTCCAAATGTGGTCATGTCCCTAAACAGAAGGTCTGTGTCAGTTGGCTTGCTTGTTGTATGAGGAGACACACACACAAAGAATTTCAAGCTCACTGATGTCCTTGTTGCCTTTCTTTTCCAGAATTCTCAGGTTTTACTTTCATTTTTGTCTTTGAATAATTGTAAAATCCAGCCATCAAAAATAGCATCATCACATAAATGTACTCCAAGTATATCAGCATCTGTTACCATCAGTCCTTTGAAAGGGACAAATGCCTGCATGTTTCCTAGTTAAAAATCATTACATGTAATTTAGTTTGCCACATCCTTACTCTGCTACTTTCTGTGGTTGGTAAATTCTTTCATGTTTTCCAATTTTAAAATGTCGAAGCAGAGTTCTCTAATTAGTAATCACCTCTTTAGGTGAATTCCAAGCATTTTGAGTCAGGGCGCTAGACGGAGCTCCTTTAATACAAAGGACCGTGCCTGCACTCGTGTCCCTCTGCATGATACCTCACTTGGCTAATGTCTCATTAAATTAAAGGGAGGACACTGTGCTTGTGGGATAGTGTGGATAGTGCCCCCTGGGGGACGCAGTGCTGTACTGAGAGTGAAGCATGGCCAGCTGGAAGCCACCAGTTCACATTCTTTCCTGTTAGCTCTCCCCTTCCCATCCCTCTGAAAGCTTTAGGGATTTTTCCAATGTCAGGAGTTCCTATATTAAAATACCAGAAGGGTCAGTTCTACATCTGGCAGAGTTTTAACCAGGCAGCGTGGTCAGTCTGTCCTCAATTGGTGAACATTGAGTGCTCCTCTGTCAACTCCCCTGCAGGTCCTGCTGGCTACACACACACCAGGAGAGGAGCCACAATGGGGATGGGAACACTGCTGGGATGCAGTGCTCATGAGGGATGCAGAAGGGCTATCCTAAGACTGCTACATTCTAGGAATGGTATGGAATTTGAACAGGGCTGTCAGGCAATGTATCAACATAAGGCAAAACATCTACTCTGAAGTCCCTTGTAGTCCCAATCTGTTATCTAGATAAAACATGACAGTTTAAGTGAAGGTAAAAATGTGACTCTTGGGAGTTTCATCATTTGAAAATAATACATTCCCATTCTTATAAATAAAATAAATGTTAAGAATCAACACCTTGAGGGCCCCACCTTGGAATGTGGCTCAAGCTGGAGGTAGAGGGTGGAGACGCTGCAGACCTGGACTACAGCTGCTTGGAGAATGTAGATCACAGCCTTTCAAGTCTGTGATAATGAATGGCCTCCAGTAAACCTCTATCACAAAAAATGGTTAAGAAATTGCGAAGAATACAAAGGTTGAGGAGACAGAGCCGGGATGTTTTGTGTTAGGAAAAGTCTTAGGCTAACATGGAGTGAAGGGGAAGAGTGGAAGGGATTTACAGATGCTGACAGTCCTTGAGAACTTGAGGAAAACTTGATTGCCTCCTTATTTTCAAAAGACATAAAAAGATGGCACACACAAAGTCTTTATCTGACAGGGAGCCTGATGATAGCAAATTAGCGTCTACTGACAAATCAAGAGGCTTTGCCCCAGTTATCACAGAGACTGTTTCCCACAAAATGGAAAGATTTAAATGAGGCAGACTTGGGGCTGGCAACCAAAACAACCATGAATGTCCTCAGATTGTAATTGCTTTTTATGAAGAGAGACTAATTTGGCATTTTTGTCCAGAAAATGAAGCTCAATGTTGTTTGCATTGAGAGATATAAATATATAAAATCAATCTGGATCTTGACTTTTTTTTCCAGTGTGAAAGAATAGCTACATTCTAATGAAAATTGAGTTTGATGTATTCATTTTGAAGTAGTTTTGGGGGAAGTTGAGATTTTGTGTATCAATAGCACTAGTTACTTTGAACAAATAAAAGTGTTCTATAGTTGCTTCAATTAGCACAGATAAAGGAATAATCAATACACTGGTCTACCTTGTTAGTAAACAAAATGCAGACTAAAGTAAGTTGTTCCATGGCTATTAGAAAAAAATAATGCTCAATGCTGGAAAGCTTTCAGTGAAATAGCTACATTTTAATTATTGAAGACAGTATAAATTGATATAACTCATACAAAAAAAATTTGGTAGTATGTCAAGCCATGAAAATGTTGTATATACCCTTTGACCCAGTAAATCCCACTGCTGGGAATTTATACAAAGAAAATCAGAAACAAAAGAAGGGAAAAGCTCTATGTACATAAATATGTTGCAGTAATAAGCAACAAATTGGAAACAACCTATATGTCCAGTAAGGAGAATGGGTAAGTAAACTGTACAACTACCCAGAATGGAAGTTTTAAAGCTGACAATTAAACAGACTTTATAGTTGCATTTAACTTTTTTTAAAGGCAAGGTACATCATCGTATTTCTGTAATGATTAAAAATTTAGAGAAATGATGCATTTGGAAAAAGATGAACTGGCTATATAGTTGTTCACAGTGGTAAAATTAGAGGTAATTCTTTCGCATTTTATGTCATGTTTTCATGTATATCAAGAAATACATTTACATTATGAGAGGCATAAATCTTTAAGTTGAAAATAATTTGATACAGATGTCTAAAAAACCTACTGAGTGAAAGAAGATGTAGGGAAGGGTTCTTACTTTGTGCTTCCTTTTATCCCTCTAAGCACACCGCTTGGTTAACTGTGGATGTGTAGGAAGTATGTGCTGCTTAAGGTAAAGCATTGCTCGTCAGCCAAATGCCCGTGTGCCCGTGTGTCTCTGAGCCAGATAAGCCAAGGAAGGAACAGTGACGCTTTCGCCCCCAGCCGAGCACTTACTTTTCCCACAGAATAATAAAAAAATATATGTATTACGTGCTAGATCCTAGTACAAGACAAGAATTCAATCTAAAAATTCTAGAAAGATAATTAAAATATTTCTGGTTTTAACTGTTATTCACAAAACTGATGACACTGGAATATTTTCCTTTTCCGAAACAACTGTCAGTATCAAATGAGTTGTTATGCCTAACAAAGAACTAGTTATCACTTAAAATAGTATTTTATCATTTTTACGTCATTATTTATAAGTGCTCTTAGATTCGAAAACTAATTAAATCTGCTTTCAGCATTTGGTTGCAGAGTTTTGGAACCAGCTCCTTTAGAATGCTCTAACAGCTTGATGGCCTTGTCAGAGTTTTCAATATTTCTAAGCAGAGTCTCCAATCTTCTCTTAATTTTCTTCTGATCTTCAAGAGCACAGCCAATTACGATGGATTGAAACTTCTGATCAACTGGCCCAGGGGGCACCTCAGATGAACATGCACTATAGAGTGACATTAAGTGACTCCTGGCGTTTCCCAGATCATCCAGAAACTTACTGACCACCTCGTCAATAATCCTTGTGGCATGCTTTAGGGATTCTTGCTGCTGGGGGTTTCTAATGGTTTCTACTGAAACTTCAACGGTGAGGGTTCGTCCCATCAAACGGTTTGCCGTCAGATTTAATTCTTCTCTCTCTCCTAAACATAAAAAGTTTGAAATATCAATCAGTATGAGACAAACTTATCTATGTCAAGAACACTAAAGCATTCATTTGTGGCTAAATCTATTTTCTGTAAGCTTACCACTGGTATAAATTTTTTTTTTTTTTAGAAAGATTGGCCCTGAGCTAACATCTGCTGCCAATCTTCCTCTTTTTCTTTTTTCTCCCCAAAGCCCCAGTACATAGTTGTGTATCATAGTTGTAGAGTTGTAGCTCTTCTATGTGGGACACCGCCTCAGCATGGCTTGATGAGCGGTGAGTAGGTCCACGCCCAGGATCTGAACTGGCGAACCCCGGGCCGCTGAAGCGGAACGCATGAACTTAACCTCTACGCCACCAGGCCAGCCCCTGCAATACATTTTTTAAAGGTAAAAGTTAAAACTATAGCGTATAAGATTAACTGCTGAAGTGTATTAGATTACAGAGAGTAATCTGAAAGTCTTTATACATGTTTCAAACGTTTGGGCAGGTGTGCAGTTGTCACTGGAATGGAGATCAAGTTAGAACAGAGTGAACAGTGAGCATAACTAGGGTTTTGTGTGGTTTGAGTGTGGAGATCAGATGTCCTGGGTCTCTCCATAAGGACGTGCATGTAAGGAGGAAACATAATTTTCCCTCTACCTTTCCGAGTTCTTGGCTGAGAACCCCTGTGATAAAAGACAGATTAACAAGAAAAAAACAGAAGTTTCTTAACATGTGTACCTCACATATACACTGGAGATTCCCAGATGGTCCAAGCCACCACCTTAAAGACCATCTTCAGCGAAACACAAAGATGTTGGGGAGGGAGGGAGACCAGTTATGGGAGGTGACCAGGAAAAGCTGGATAAACAAGGGTCAGGTTGTTATGCAAATTTAGTAGTAGGTGGCTTCTCTGTTGATAAGAGTTTTCTGATTCAGAGTCATCCTTCTCTTCCTGGTACAGAAAGGGAGATATCCTTAGAAATGGAAATTTCCTTTATAAATGTAAATGTCTCTTACAAAAGGGTAATTTCTACTCCATTTTCAGAGATTCTCTTGTGTCTGCAGTTTCTCAAAAATAATCAGCTCAAAATAATCCTTATGCCCAAGAGGCATGTTTGGGGGTGGTGTATTCTGCCTGTGTATCAGAATCCAATGCCTCGATTTTAGCTAAGAAAACATAGCCATGATAGTGGAGGAAAAGCTGGCCTCCAAATGAGACACTGACTTCATCCCTTGCAGACAAAATTAAACAGGCCATGGGCTAAGTCCTGGCCGGCACAAAGAGGCAATGGTGGGAAAGGGGCTGTGGGAGATCAGAATCTGCCACCCTGAAATGTGTCTCTTTGGCTTGATTATTTTTAAGAACAAAAGACTCAGAAAGAAACTTTGACCTTCTCCCCTAATTGCCTAAAAGAATTTAAGATAGAAGGCCTGTCCCAGGAAGGAGCTAACACTGTAGATAACTCTAGGTGTGGTAGACAGGAAGGCGCCTAGCAAGGCCCATTTTTACCAAAGTTCTCTCTCATTGTCTATAGAGGGCCCAGCAAACATTTGTTTACCAAACATTTGCTTTCCCATCTTCATGTGAATTGCCTTCCTCCCCTTTGAAGTCCCAAACCACTACCCCCAACATTCTCCTTTGTCTTTAGCTGAAGATGGTATTTAAGGTGGTGGCTTTGGCCATTTTGGAGAGTTACTCAGTTTTCCTGGGTTTCTCTGGTGTATACATGTTATTAAACTTTGTTTGATTTTCTCCTGTTATTCTGTCTCATTGTCAATTTAATTCTTAGATCAGCCAGATGGACCTAGTGGGTAGAGGAATATTCTTCCTCCCCCACAGAACACCGTATCAACATTTCATTTATATGAAAAAGTCAGCAATCTCCTATTGATACCAGCTGAAGACAAGGTTGACACGAGGGAAGCCATATTGTAGAAAAGAAAAACTCTGTTGTAACTTTGAATGACCTCTGACAAACTAACCCAGCTGGATATGCACCCTCCAGCAGATCTACCTGCTCTGTAGATGTTACGACCCCTGCTTGTGCGTGTACCTCCCAGCTGCGATAAGATGATAACTTTGTTTTTTTGAGTTTCTTAGGAATGTGATGACCCCCAAACAGAAAGTCTATGCTGATAGCCATCATCAATGAAAACTGAAAGATGTGGTGTGGCAATTCCAGTCTGTAACACCAGAGGGTCAACATTCCTAACCCCCTCCCCTATAACCCACCAGCCTACATAACTGCTATAAGATTTGTGCCCCCTCAGGATGGTTTTTTTCAGACATGAGTCGGCCATCTTCCCTCTTGTTAGCAAGCTGTAATAAAAAAGTCCTTTCTCTCCTACCACCTTGCCTCTTGACTATTGGCATGTCTTGCAGCGAGCAGAAGGCCCCACACTGGGCGGTAACACTATTTGAACTGCTCTGTAACTTCCTTCCTAATTCATTCATCTTTGGCCAGGATGGTGACGAGACAGACTAGATCTTGACCCCGCTGTGGATGTGGAACAGCTCTGGTCTGGAGTTAGACTGCACACGTGCCCCACCAGCTACCTGGCCCACCAGCTTGTCTGGGAGGCACCAAAGGAGCCAAATTAGGAAGACCACTGCAGTGAAAGAAAATCACAGGTGACCTGTTCCTCCATGGGCAGTCCTGCTTTTCATACAAAAATGATTGCACATTTTTACATTAATGGGGTTTTACTGAATCCGTAATTTATTTTCTCTGCATTTTCTCCCCTTCATCTCTTTAAGTTACACCTCAATTCATCTCCTTTTGTCGTCTCTGCTTCCAATCTCTCACCTTTTCCCTCTGCTTCTACATCTTCTACAGTCCAGTAACTAAAGAATTGAAGTTAGGGGGAACCTGAGGTCAAGGGCAGGGCCTTTCCGCTTGGGGCCAGCTCTTCGGGAGCCTGCAGGCCTTTCTCTATCACTTCCAGCCCCAAGAATGGTCTCGGTTGTGGCTCCTGTAATAACTGACAGCCACAGCTGCTCTCTGCTGCTCACACCAAATGCTGAGGCCTCGTGTACTCATACTCAAGTCAAGCAAGACCTGAGCCACACTTGAAACCCCTTAAAGGAGTGAGTGTAAAAAGACGAGCCCCCTCCTGAGGAAACAGCCTTACCGTCGCTGATCTGTCTCATGTCCTGGCTATTCTGGATACTGTGGATCATTTCCAGGAGGATTTCTTTCTCCTGCTCAACAGCAGTGGCTGCTTCTCTCAGAGCTTCCACCCTTCATAGATTGGGAAAACAAAACAGTTACAATATGGAAGATTAGTTTTCCTCATCTCTCTCTCTTCAATCCAACTCAAGTTTAAAGATCATCAGGAACATTTTTCAAAAATTCTTTATTCCTTTTTATTTTTTATTCTTGAATTTTTCTATTGTTTTTAATCCACTTACCCAGCTCCCATTTTCCTCCCACTCATAGGGCAATCTTCTACTTAGTGTTTATCTATTTGTATTTGTTCTTCCAAAATCTGTACTTCCTTATTCGTCTATTTTTAACTTACTTATCTCTCACTGTTTCTTTTTTCACTCAGCATTATTTTATTAAGAACCATGCAGGTCCCTATGTGTACATCTAATCAGTAGCTTCTAACTGCTGCATGATAAATACTCCACATGTATATGCACCTGATCTTACCTCCACTCCTCCGTGGAGACACTCACCTTGTCCCCCACCTTTCGTCACCACAAATAACACCAGTGAATACATGTCCCCTATGGACCTGAAAGAGAATCTCCTTAGGATACATCCCAGGGCAGAATGCAGAGACACAGGGTATGCCGACCCTCAATTTGACTCAGGACTAGCATTGTTCTCCAGAATGGCCGTACTAGGCCCTGTTCCCGGCAGCAAAGCATAGGGGTCCCCACAGCCTGTGTCCCCACAACCCTACCAATGTGCAGCATTTTCCAACTATTTGCTGCCAGTCTAATAAGTGTACAGTGGTATGCAGGACTTAATTTGCATTGCGTTCATTACTAATCATTTTGGCCATCTCCTTACATCTTTGTTAGCCTGTTCATAGCCTTTGCCTATTTGGTTTTTCGTTTTTAACCAGGGCTCACTGTCCTCTTATTGACCTGCATACTCAAGGTATTAATCCCTTGTTGGTTCCAGACACTGCAGCCATCTTCTCCCATCCTGTCACACATGAACTTACTCCGGGATGTACCTCATGGACAAAGATCCTTATTTTGAAGTGAACAAATTCATCTTTTCTTGGTTTTGTTTTGCCTTATGGTTTATGCTTCTGAAGTTTTGTTTCAGGGTCTTCCTCATCCCTAGGTCATAAGATATTTTACTACATTAATGTTATCGCTGTACCTTTCTCATATTTATGTCTTAATCCATCTAGAATGCACCCCTGTATGTGGTTAGGTAAGATTTTATTTTTCTCCAAATAGTGAACCATTTTCCCCAACATTATCCACCAAAAATCCATCTTTCCCCCAATGATTTGTAGATTGTCTACCTCCAAAATCTCTATTCCAGCCATTACTATATTTGATTTTTCTTAAACCAACACCCATTTTTTTAAAAATAGCACCATCCTTGTAATATGGAATCTTCTTCAAAGACAACTTAGCTATTTAACTTAGCTATGATGGAACTTTCATTCCGTCATATACACGCTAAAGTAAGTTTATTGGGTTTCTCAAAAACCTGGGGTAAATCTGACATCTCTAGAATATTGTCATTCCATCTAAAGGCATGATATGTCTCTCCATTTATTCAGATCCTCTTCTCTATTCTTTATACTTTTTGAAGTATTCTTAATGGTAGTCTTGTGGACTCTTTTGAGTGTTTTGATACTTTGTGGATATTCTTGCTATTGTGAATAATATATTTTTAATTACATTTTCTAGTTGGTTATTGCTGGTTAGAGAAATGCTGTTTTTGTAGATTCATCTTGTAACTGGCAACTGTGGTTTACACTTATTAATTTTAATGGTTTGTCTTTTGATTCTGTTGGTTCTTGTAGATTGATGATCATATTATCTGCAAAAAAGGACAGTTATCTATCTCTTCCTTTTCAATCCTATTAGCTCCTATTTTCTTTCTTTATAATATTGACTAAAGTCCTTCGGTACTGTATTATTAAACAGTGGTGGTGAGAAAGGGTGTTGTTGTCTGTTCCTGAATTTAAAGGGAATGCCTCTGTAGGTTTTTGGTACAAAGCCCTGATCCAACTCTAGAAGCACTACTTTCCCCAACTGTACACACACATGCACTTACCACACACACACAGGAGCACACCCAGTCACTTTACTAGGCTGTGGAATCAGGAGAGCAAGAGAAAAAAAATCCTGTATATTTTAAGCGCTCTGTTTCCAGGGCACTTGCTTGTTATATATTACACTGAAACTAACGAAGTTGCCAACTTTTGCAAAATAAATAGTGACAGACCTATCCCCAGTATTCAGATGGTCGTAGAAACACAAGATCATGGAAGACCTAATCCTGGTTGTTGCCTTACGTGGGCACAGAAGGAACCACTTCACCAAGGTCTTAGCACGTGTCCTTTCCATATAAGGACCCCCCTCCCCACCCCAGCCACACATATGCCTTTTCCCCAACAGGGCACCCACCTGTTACCCCCCAAAATAGCACTGATACACTGTCAAGTCACAGGGTCTCTTTATTCATCAAGATACTAAATATACGTTGGACTTTGTGTTTATACGAGCCAGTAAAAGCAAAGAGCTGGTAAGAATCTTACGTGACAAATTTGGCTGGAAAACACAATTAAAAACAATCTTCTTTAAAATAGTAATAATACAATATCAGGCCCTCTTCCAGTACCATTCATTATGTCCTCACACATTTTACATTAGCAAACTCGCAGACAGATAAACTAGGGCCCAGTAGATGTGAGAGAGAGTTGGCACTTACACACAATATTTATGCTACAAACACAAACAATGACACAGATGAATCATCCAATTGGTAAAAGAGATGTTGAAAGAAGGGATTAATTTTTCAACACTCTCCAGTTTGTATTCAAATATAAGATGATAGAGAACTGAATGTTATTCTAAAAAGGAAGGCTTCATTTACAACAACAAGTTACAACCATAAGTTCACGGAGTTGTTAACAGGAAAATGGTTTAAAAGGAAACAGTCTGGAAAAAAATATAATAAATCTGTCACATGAAGAAGATATTTTGTCATCAAATGAGACCAAATATAGAGAAAATTAGATGGAACCTTTAAGTTTTGTGGGTTTTTTCCCACAAGGCTAGAAATCGCCAGGGCATTTTCTCTGTGAAAAACAGATTTCATCTTTTACAGAACTTTTTATATATGTTTTCATGTATACCTGTTTCATTTCATAGCAAAGGTAGAATGTCACTGTTCAGAATGTAAAGATTCCAAGGGTTTTTTTGGCATCATGGACCCTTCGTTTGCTGTTCCCTCTTCCTGAACATTCTTTATCCCTGACCCTTGTCTACAGGGTGATCCTTTTTCACAAGCCAATCCTTTTTGGCAGGAACTGCTTCCTCTCCCTTGAGGCAATCAGTGCCTCCCTTAGCACTCTACGTCTGTCTAGTATAGGGACTATATCAAATTTTAATTTTTCCTTTTAAAAAGCTGAACCTAGATCTCTACTTAATTTAAGTAATATTTGTACTGTTTATCAGCTGATACCCTTAAATTCAACTCATATATAAATCTTTTTGTCTACAACCTTTCCATTAGTTCTAGAAAACTGTTAGCCGTCATGTCTTCAAATATTCCCTGTTCTCCATTCTATTATTTCCTTCTGAAACTCTGGTTAGACAAGTGTCGGACCATCTCACTTTATCCTTCATGTTTCTTAACACGGCATTTGACAACACTTCTCTTGGCGGAGAGGGCAGTTCTGTTTTTACTAACAGATCCTGGAAGGGCTACATGTCCAAATTGGGAAAGAACTTATCCTCACACCAAGGCTGGCCTGGGCTGTGCTCCTGGAAAACTCTCGGCATGAAATCACGACTAAACAGGCATGAATAAAAAGAAATTCTAGTCAGAATATTCTTCTGAGGACAAAACTCAAGTGCACACATCCCCAGCTAGTCTCCAGGTCTCCACATCCCACAGTCTCGGGAGCCTGGTATCTAAAGGACAATTGCTGAGAGACTTAGGAGAGGCCCAACAGCCATCTCAGCAGCCTGTGGCCACCATGGATCTGTCGGCTAACACAGCAGGCAGGCGAAACTGCAGGGACTGTTCCGTCCACCTGTGCAAACCACTGCTGCCGCTTACTAGCTGGGTGACCTTGAGTAATTACTTCAGCTCTCTTTGCCTCAGTCTCCTCATTGATGAAACAGGAATAATGAGATGGTGATCGTGACTGAATCAAGTAAAGCAGGTAAAGAGTTCAACACAGTGACTGACGGCATCGACTAAAAAAATTATGAGTTCATATGTGTAATGTGCCTAGAATTGGTGCTGGCAAACCTCAGCTGCATGGTATTCATTATGTCCTTACCATTATGAAGGCTTATAAAATAATAAGAATTTTTGCTTTCAAAAAAAGGAGGGGAAATGGCAAATGCTTCCAGTGTGGATTTATTTGAAAGAAATAATTTCTAAAACAGGCTCTTAAAATCATAGTCCTGTCTCTTATTCAATACTCTTCTATCAAAAGAATACTACAGTGATCACTTATATTTTACACAATGTAAATCTTGAAGGGTTTCCCTAATCATCACCAAAATATTAAGTTACCTTCACTCTTTTTTTTTTCTTTTTGTGAGGAAGACCAGCCCTGAGCTAACATCTGCCAATCTCCCTCTTTTTGCTGAGGAAGACTGGCCCTGGGCTAACATCCATGCCCATCTTCCTCCACTTTATATGGGATGCCGCCATAGCATGGCTTAACCAGAGGCACGTCGGTGCGCGCCCGGGCTCCGAACCGGCGAACCCCGGGCCGCTGCAGCGAAGCGCGCGCACCCAACCGCTTGCGCCACCGGGCCGGCCTACCTTCACTCTTGAGACACTTTGATGTGAAAAAGGGACTGGTGTTTACTGTTAGGAGCTACTCATCAGTCGTGTGGCCTTAGGCAAGCCACTCAATCCCTCCTGACCTCAGTTCCTTCATTTCTAGAAGAGATAATGTGTCCCCCTCCTACCTTAAAGGTTCAAATGACAATGTATATGAAAAGTGCTCTTTTAAATTAGAAGCTGTTATACAATATTAACTATGATGCCATCTTGTTTCATGACTCCTGGGACACTGGCACATCTCAAGAAACTGTAAGCAACAGGAAGCTTTCAGCCAAATGAGCCACATCACCCCCTGCCCCAACCCTTCATTCCCCGGCTGCTGTGTAAGCAAATGGCTGATGGCAGGGGGAAGGAGGAACAATATGATCAGTTTTGAGAAATCTGTGAACAGCCAGTCTCCCAGTCCTGTCATTTTCCCTTCTGCCATTCACCATCCAGAGCCTTCCAGGAGTCAGTCAAGAACTGGCACAAATTGGGTGTTCAATATTTACTGAATTAAACACCAGCTTAAATGGAATGTTCACCTCTTTCAGTAAAATCATATATTTATCCATATACTACTTGTACATTTTGAAACATGACATATTTAAGAAAATTCAGGCAGAAAGTATTAAGCTCTATAGCCAGTCTTCCTGGGTTCTAGCTGCGTGACCGTGGACAAGTCACTGAACTTCCTAAGCCCCAATTTCCCATCAGGAGAATGGAGGTAAAAGTAACTTCCACAAAGGCATGGGGGCTGGCATATAGTTGGTGCCCATTAAATGAATATAGGGTAGCATGTATTATTTATAAATTATAACTGTTAAAAAAAGTAACAACTTGAACCACTGAGGAATGCAGAAATCAGACACCATTTAGAAGTGGCCATGAAAACCAGGAGAGGAAGGATCGCCTTTTTAGGAGGAAGCAAAAAGGCAGATGGGTTGGAGTCAAAAAAGAAAGGCTAGTGTCGTAAAGTTTAGAAACAAATGGAATTTCTTTAACGATCTGTAGAATGCTGCCAAACATTTTAAAGCATTTTAAACATCAGGTACACCAGTTCACAGGCCGGGTCATAAAGCATTTAGCATAATTCTGTTTTCAGTTTCATATGGAAGAAGTTTTCACCACAGCTGACAAAACTAGTGTGGCTGGGGAGCAGTAAATGCAAGCCCCTAAGTGCCAACTGCACCGGCTGACTCTACCCCGTATGCGGCATGATCAGCCGTCCGTAACATGAAGTTAAACTATTAGAGCAAAATTACAGACAAATATCATGTTTTCTTTTAAATATTGATGTTCTAGGCCTGACTCTAGTCTTGAACAGTGTACCGCTCTGGGACACTGCCCCTGTGGTTTCAAACAGACTTGAATGGATCAGCATTAGCCTTTTCTCTATTTTTGCTTGCCTTCTGAAACACTTCCTTAGTTTCCAGTCAGTATTACTTTTTTTAAAGGAAGAAACAAAGCTTACAAAAGTCTAAAATTACTAGAAAAGTCCTTAAAATGACCAATTAGACACATATTGATCAGTCCTTCCTAATGTGGAAGACGACGTGAGTGGAGCCATATTAAAATGGAGGCAGAGCAGCCATTTCAGAGAAATTGCCTGGCACCGGTCTTGTTTTCTTCGTCTTCCAAACTGGACCACACCGCCAACATTCCAAGAAGTCAGTGTGGACGAGAATATCCCGTTTGTAGGGACTGATGAAACTGGACTTTGCCGATGACCGAATCACTAACCAATCAATGAAGCACAAGTCTAGCCTTCTGCCTGATGACCGAATCTCGAGCCAACCTCTGAAGTACAATCCTAGCCTTCCCTCATCTAGCATCAGTGAACTCTTCCTTAATACAACGCACCAGTCCTCCTCCCTTTTCCCATAAAAGCCCTGAGCCCCTCTCCTGTAATCAGGACACTATTTGGGTTTCTACCTGGATCCGTGCTACCAGAATTGCAATTCTTCAATCCCAAATAAATGCTTTGCCTCGTAAACTGGGTTTTGTTTTTGTAAGTTGATACTCCTCAGGTCAAGGGTTAGTTAAGCAAATTATAATTTAATCACTTGTACACAATAATCAGAATTCATTTGACATTAGTCGAACATTAGACTATAATAAATACTCAAAACCAGAGGCTTTCTTTTCAAGATGAGCACTTGACTGTTTTTGTACCTACCACATGTGAGAAATTAATCCAAGTTTGAGGACAATGACTCAGCTTGAAGGAAGGAGGGGCAACATCCTCCTCATTCCTTTAAGAAAAAAATCCTTTTTTTCTGCTGAGAGGAGAGAGACTCCTGAAATGGTGGAGAACATGCCCTCAAAGTTGTAAAGCCCTGGGGGAGACGTGCCTTGGGGGAGACGTGTGAGTTACCTCTTATGCTGCTACAGAAAGGAAAATATTATCATTCAGAGGGAAGTTAAACAGTTGAGGGCAGGACCTCTAGTTCTGCTCCTGCTTTTTCTGGGGGTGGAATGCACCAGGCTCAACCACGGGGAAGCAATTTTCTGCTGCTGTTCCATGTGTCTCATTCTGAGCAGAACCCCAGAACGTGGTTTTGGCTCTGGTTTCTCTATCTGTTGCCATCCATGAAATCATTGTGGAGGGAGAATTTCTCATTTTCTGACTCTTTCCTCGGGGTAATGATAATAATAAATGCCTCATTTGCTGAGATACACTGTGGTTATTAATGCTCTTTCCCAGCAAATAGACACCTCTTCTTCTTCTGGTACACTAATTGAGGGGGATAAAGGCATATATGCATTGCTTCTTGAAATTGTTGGTTTACACACTCCTTTGCTCACCCAGAAGCCGGTAAAAACTATGGAAAAAAATTCTGTGCAGTTTCAGGGGATTGTGGGTGCCTTAATAAGATTTTCATTTAACAACACCTGCACACATTTACACAACTTTAGTGACATAAATGTTTACAGAAAGTACATAAAAGTTTCCATACCCTGTAAAAGGAAAAGTGTTTCCAAAATTTATCATACATTATTTAGAAGTTCCATACAAGCCTACGACTATATTAATTACTTAATAAAATCTTAATGAGTTGGGGGGGGAACCTGTGACTATCTTGTGCTTTCAGGCCAGTGACTGGCACTTTCAAGAAGGTGGCGGCACAGAGTCTCCTGTGCACGGAGGCGCACAATCCACCGTGAGGCTAACGGAAGGGCTGAGCACCGCATGCGGGGTTAGGCGACACGGAAGCTGCAGGGTCTTCCTTCCACAAAGCACCCAGCTGCCGACCCCCGCAGCCCCTCGTTTGCCCTCCTCCTCTCTAATCCTTGCCATCAGATGGATTCCTGGATTTTTAATTTTTGCTCTTAAGTGTTCTGGAGCAAAGAAACGGATCATTCACATCAGGGACCACTAAGCTGCTGCCTCTCTTAAAAATGCCTAATAGGAAAAGAGTAAGTTAAAAACATCTGGGAAGACCATATACCGGCACACAGAAGGTTCTAGAAGTTCTGGAGACCTGGAGTGTCACAGTCCCTAATCCGAACCAACGTCACCAGAACTTGCATGTTCTGATTGTTCTCGGCCCCCAAACGCTCAGGTCCTGCCCGAGAGCGTGGCCACAGGAACGCGCGCGCAGGTGTGGCTTAAACCGAGCGCGCTCTGAGCCGAGCCGAGCCGAGCAGAGAGCCCGGGACGCAGAGCAGAGCGCCCCGTCTCCACCGAGAGCACGTGTCAAGCCGCCCAGCCGCCGGGACCCCCACGCCGGGCGCGGCCCGGGCCGCCGCTCACCTGAGCTCCAGCTGGTCGAGGCTCTCCAGCAGGCGGCTGGAGCGGTCGGCCATGGAGGAGGAGCGGCAGAAGCGCCCCTCGTTGGCTTTCGCGTTGATCTTCGCCTGAGCCATCGGAGCCTCCGAGGCGGGGCGGCCGAGAGGTCACCGGGCTCTCCGGCGGCGCGAGTGGCGAGCTCGGCGGCCGCAGGCGTCGCCGTC